CGCAGTCGTTAAACCCCTACTTAAAAAGCCAGATCTTGATCCCAATTAACTCACCAACTATAGACTAATTTCCAATCTCACTTTCATTGCTAAGATCTTGGAAAAAGTGGTCTCACATCAACTGAGAACCTAACTGTCTCCATGAGATGTTTCAGTCTGGCTTCAGACCCTTTCACAGTGCTGAAACAGCATTAACTACAGTAAATCAGTAAAAAAAAGATCTCCTTGTGTCTCTCGAGAGTGGCCATATTTGCATACTAGTCCTTCTAGATCTCTTGACCATAAGATCCTCCTTGATAGGCTGGAAAATCTGGTTAGTATCAAAGGACAGGCTTTGTCCTGGTTCCGATCTTATCTGACAGACTGTTATCAATTTTTCAGTGTTAACAATAAACAATCTGATCACACTCTAGTACCATATGGTGTCCCACAAGGATCTGTGCTCGGGCCGCTGCTTTTCTCTCTGCACATGCAACCTCTTGGTAAAATAATTTGCAGATTCAGCGATAGTTTTCACTGCTATGCGGACGACACACAACTTTACATATCTGCTAAACCAAATGAGGCTCTGAATCTTAATAATCTCAAAGAATGTGTTAAAAATATCAAAAGCTGGATAATCAACAATTTCCTTCTTCTTAATCCGAACAAAACTGAGGTCCTACTACTTGGATCCAAAGCAGAGAGATCTCAACTCTCCAATTTTGTTCTAAATTTAGAGGCCATACAGTTATTCCAAGCAAACAGACAAGCAACTTTGGCAGAAATCACATCGTCAATCAGTGCAGGAGGCCCCACACACCTATCCTGCAGATCAGTGCAGTTCTTTAGCTTCCATGGGATACGGGAGCAGAAGACCCACCAGAGTGCCTCTGTTAACACCATGACACAGCGCCTCACTTGGGCTCATAAGGTTGTTAACTGGACCTTAGAGGACTGGCAACGTGTGCCATGGACCGATGAGTCACAGTACCAATTGTTTTGGGCTGATGGTAGAGTTTGTGTGTGGCACAGACCCCATGAAGCCATGGACCCAGCTGTCAACAAGGCACTGGTGGTGGTTCCATACTGGTATGGGGTGTGTTCTCATGGCATGGGTTGGGTCCACTGGTCTGACTAAACATGTCATTGACCGGTGATCACTATGTTTCACTGTCTGGTGACCATCTGCAGCCCTTTATGGACTTCATGTACCCCTATAATAATGGACCGTGCCATTTTGGAGAGTTCTGATGACATGAGCCCAATCGAGCATTTATGGGATGTGGTGGAGAGGCCTATTCGTACCCAAGATTCTGCTTGTACAAATACCACAGCAAATTCCAGATAGCATGGCTTGTGGTTGCTGAACTTAGCCAGGCTAGAGGGGTCCTACATGATACTAGTTCCTGTTCCATGACTTTTGGCATGCCATTGTACAAAACCCACACAAGAAGAAACCAACACCAACATTCACATATACAATCTGCTCAGCACTCAGAAAATGAAGTCCTTGGGTCCAGTTTTACCATGTTGCAAATTGTTGTCAAACAAGGAACAGTTTCACCAGTTTTATAAAGTGATGGGGCAGATCCTTGAGGAACATGGAAATCATAGGTGGTATGGAGGGTTCTGGTGAGGGGATAATCCAGTGGAAGGTGAAGCTGTTGTCCAGAGAGTAATATTTGAGGTTTTTAGTGGAAAATCCAGCGAAGTACATTGAAGGGTAAACCTTACAGTCACGGGAGAATGATGGGTGGTGTAGTAAGTCTCATCCTAAGAACACATTAATCACTCCAATGAGCAGAACAAATAGCAACAACAGTGGAGGACTTAACCAAACAAAGCATGGAGTTAGCATAATATGCTAAATTAAACCCAGTGGGAAATCATTCATATTTAATAATAACTTCATGAAAATGGGTTACAGACAGTAAAAGGACAAAAGCATAAAAAAGCATAGAAATAAAAGTTTCCTGGTACAGGAGATCAACTCACTTTGCAAGCTGTGATATACACTGAAATAATTGATTGACTTTCTTGCAATTAGTTCCCGTCACTTAGTCCAGGCAGGTTGGTTGTCCTGTCTGGTTGAAATTTCAAGTGTACTTATTTTAGTGAGTAGAACAAACATAATGGGGATGGGCTGAATTCTGTTTATTAGAGATTTTCTTTCAGATGTTGATTTCAAACAACACGTTCACATGTTCGATACATGTCTGTAGTGTCTCTGCTGAGTCGTCAGTTTGGTGAGAAAGCAACCCAAAGCAGCACCATGTACGATTTGGGGATGTGGACACCTCTCTGGTGGAAATGTGTAACTACAAGCAACTTACGGAAGTTAATAATGAAAGATGTACAACATGGTGTGAAAAACTCCTGATCTAATGCCTTTGACTTTGAAATGAATATTTCAGGGTTTACAGGGCGACTCACAGCAGCACACACTCACCATATTTTACTGTTCTTTTTTCTACTTACTCAGTAATGATACTTCTTTTAGTTCTACTAAAAAAAAAAAAAAACTTACATAGTGCAGGTTTAAATAGCTGCTAACTCATTAGTTTTTGCTCTGTTAGTTTAGTTAAACTAGTAAAATTCATGACTTTCACATTTTGTTGTAATAAAAAGAAAAATATTTAATTGTGTGAATTAAATTTCACCTTTAATTAATTACTTAATTGTTTTTAGAAATAATTTCTATTTTGTAATCAATTGTTAAAAAGTTAATGATTATAATTATTACATGTTTGAACTGATTTATTATTAATGACATGAACTGAAACTGAAATCATTATATGGTTTTATTTTTCATACAACAGTTTTACTTGAAAAAATTGTCACTAGCAAAAAATCAATTTAAACATGTAAAAATGACAATTTCATCATTCCACGATACTTTAATATGCTTTAATGCATACATATTTGGTCTTTCATTGTAGTGGAAAGTGATAATTATTGCTCAGTTAAATCATAAAATTCTACATTTGAAAAAAAACAAACACATAAACCAGTAGTTGCATGTTAAGTTTATTGAGCATGAATGAGGAAGTTAACACTGAGGTTTTTGTTAATCAAGATCAAAAATAATTCTTAATTAAGAATGATCAAATTAAATAAAGAATTTCATAGATTGATTTTAGTCCCATCCCAGTTCAAATCAAAATGAAAGTAATCTAATGTGCTCAAACATTAAGAAACATCTACAGAAAATACATAAATATTACTGGAGTGATTTTCTCTGCATAATTATAAACAAGTTAAACAGATATTGAGCAGTGTTTTTAAAGTGAAACTGTATTTTGATTACTGTATATTAAGTTAAAAGAGTGCAGTGCATTAGATATGAGCTATATGTGCGAGGGTTAGACGGGTAGATGCGGTGTGATGGTCAGAAGTCCTACACACAGAGAGATGAGCCACAGTCCTGAACCACGATGTACAACAGCTGAACCTGAAACAGATACAGATACATAACACTAATGTCAGTTACAGGACTCAAAGTGCTCAATAAGCATTTCACTTCTGCTCACTGTAAAAAAACTGTTGTTTTAACATTTTGAATAGTAAGTTTTACAGAACAAGAATCTGTATTTTAAAGCTTGTCAATTTATTTGATATTATATATTATATACTAAATACTTATATATAGGATATGAGTATATAAGCATTTTAGACAGTATATAAAATAAAAGGCATACAATGTAGGACAGCACAGACAGTGACTTTAAGTTAAAACCCAATTTTTTGTCTTTACAAGTACAAAGTAAAAGACATTGTGTGTGTAAATGTAAAGTGGTTATGTACACAGGAAGTATCAAAACTGTCTGAATTCCTGTTTCCCCTCTCTGTAGCTCAGTGCTGTGAGGTTTTTCCATGAATGACTGGTTTTGATGAACAGTGTCTTACCCGTCGTGGCGTTGACGGTCTGGTTGGTCTGTGTGATGGTGGTGTTAGTTAGTAGTGTTGTGACTGTAGTGGCCGGTGCAGCCGTAGAGCTGACGGGGTCCGCTTTGCCTCCTGAAAGTCCGAGTACCGCCAAATCAGAATTGTACTGCTGAGCCGCCCACATCCTGACCGTTGTGGTGTTCTCAAACAGCTTCAGGTCGGCCTTGTTCTGTCCCATCAGGTTGATCACTGTGCTCACATTCAGGGCCTGAAACACAAAGATAAAAAACAATCACAGCCTTAGAGCTTTTCCAAATATGTTATCATTCAATGCATAAAAGAAAATGTATGAATTTTTACTGTGAAGTTTTACTGTTTTTTTTCTGTTAATAACCAGCGACCATATTAGAGAAACTTCTTCTCTTTAGTCTTCAGTTTAGATTTGACAGGTAAAAATAAGATTCTCACAAATTCGAATTACAGAAGCAAATCTAATCTTAAATTTAGGAATTTTATCTCCAGTTAGGAAATCTTAACCTCCTCGATCAGTCAACTATCACCAATGTTGACATAAAAAAGGCCAAAACCAAACTAAAAGTGTGACAATTTAAGTTCTGAATATTGTGAGAGCGCCTCCTGCTGTTTAACGGAGCATCACTGCTCCCCAGTTTCAGTCTCCATTTCCCAAATGGAGAAAAGCCGCGTGGTGAGGAAAGCAGCTAGCCTGGAGATTCAGATTTTATAGTGGATGAAGCTGCAGAAGTGCAAACATTCCCACAGACACACCGAAATATTGTGGAAAGCTTCCCAGAAGAGTGGAAACTGTTATAACTGCAAAGGTATGCAGCTTCATATTCATGCCCATGGATTTGGAATGGGATGTCCAACAAACTCATTTAGGTGCACAAATTAATGGTTTTTCCAAGAGAACACTTCAGTGATTTTACCACAAATTGTTGGTGCACTCTGAGACTAAATTTGAGGAGTAACTAATGTTATGAATGTCCATGTACTTCTGGCCATTTAGTGCAGCTCCAGCAAACTAAGCAGATGAAGTCTAACATGTCTTCTTCAGAAAAAGCACAACATTATCTGTCCAAGTGAGTTTAGCAGATTTTCTGGTTGGCAAGAACAGTTGTATTGGTGAACAGCATCACTGGCACTAAAGAAGCCAGGCCTGGTACAGCCACTCTGTTCTAGTCAACTAGATGACCATTTCATACCTTGATCACATCTGGGTTCAGATTCAAGAAGGTGGTGATGTCCATGCTGACATTCAGAGCAGAAAGAGCAATTATATCCTCCACAGGAGCTCCACCTAAACACATACACAGAATAATTTAAATTTAGCAAGACTGAGTTACATGAAATGCAGACAGTAAACATTCTCAGACATCAACATCATTCCTGGGAAAACATGTTAGTGATTTTACCATAGAAATTCTAGCCAACTCTGAGATTAAATTTAAGGAGTGGCTGCTGTTGAATCATTTACTTTCACATTTACCGTAAGTTTAACAACTATGCAACTTCAAAAACTTCACAGTATATTAACTTCATAAAACAGTGGGTTTGTGACAGTGAGTAAGTTGTCTGACACTAAACCTGAGAAACTAAATCAACTAAATGATGTGGAAAGTTTGACTGAAGTAAATCCATATGAGCAGAGTGCAGAATGATCTTGAATCTTTATGTGCTATATATGATGTTCATGGCCATGAAATATTAGCTGATGTTTACTTCCCATCATTGCAATTGACAATTTCTTTTTTTTTTAACTATTGCATTGCAGTCCAGTGTACTGTAGCCTTTAGAAGACTGCAGTAGTCTTTAGACAGTGTGTAGTGGCATTTAGAAGACTTCAGTAGTCTTTAGACAGTGTGTAGTGGCATTTAGACAGCTACATTAGTCTTTAGACAGTGTGTAGTGGTATTTAGACAGCTACATTAGTATTTAGACAGTGTGTAGTGGCCTTTAGACAGCTACATTAGTATTTAGACAGTGTGTAGTGGTATTTAGACAGCTACATTAGTCTTTAGACAGTGTGTAGTGGCCTTTAGACAGCTACATTAGTCTTTAGACAGTGTGTAGTGGTATTTAGACAGCTACATTAGTCTTTAGACAGTGTGTAGTGGTATTTAGACAGCTACATTAGTCTTTAGACAGTGTGTAGTGGCATTTAGACAGCTACATTAGTCTTTAGACAGTGTGTAGTGGTATTTAGACAGCTACATTAGTCTTTAGACAGTGTGTAGTGGCCTTAAGACAGCTACATTAGTATTTAGACAGTGTGTAGTGGTATTTAGACAGCTACATTAGTCTTTAGACAGTGTGTAGTGGTATTTAGACAGCTACATTAGTCTTTAGACAGTGTGTAGTGGCCTTTAGACAGCTATATTAGTCTTTAGACAGTGTGTAGTGGTATTTAGACAGCTACATTAGTCTTAGACAGTGTGTAGTGGCCTTTAGACAGATACATTAGTCTTTAGACAGTGTGTAGTGGCCTTTAGACAGCTATATTAGTCTTTAGACAGTGTGTAGTGGTATTTACACAGCTACATTAGTCTTTAGACAGTGTGTAGTGGCCTTTAGACAGCTACATTAGTCTTTAGACAGTGTGTAGTGGTATTTAGACAGCTACATTAGTATTTAGACAGTGTGTAGTGGCCTTTAGACAGCTACATTAGTATTTAGACAGTGTGTAGTGGTATTTAGACAGCTACATTAGTCTTTAGACAGTGTGTAGTGGTATTTAGACAGCTACATTAGTCTTTAGACAGTGTGTAGTGGCATTTAGACAGCTACATTAGTCTTTAGACAGTGTGTAGTGGTATTTAGACAGCTACATTAGTCTTTAGACAGTGTGTAGTGGCCTTAAGACAGCTACATTAGTATTTAGACAGTGTGTAGTGGTATTTAGACAGCTACATTAGTCTTTAGACAGTGTGTAGTGGTATTTAGACAGCTACATTAGTCTTTAGACAGTGTGTAGTGGCCTTTAGACAGCTACATTAGTCTTTAGACAGTGTGTAGTGGTATTTAGACAGCTACATTAGTCTTAGACAGTGTGTAGTGGCCCTTTTTACAGATACATTAGTCTTTAGACAGTGTGTAGTGGCCTTTAGACAGCTATATTAGTCTTTAGACAGTGTGTAGTGGTATTTACACAGCTACATTAGTCTTTAGACAGTGTGTAGTGGCCTTTAGACAGCTACATTAGTCTTTAGACAGTGTGTAGTGGTATTTAGACAGCTACATTAGTCTAGACAGTGTGTAGTGGTATTTAGACAGCTACATTAGTCTTTAGACAGTGTGTAGTGGTATTTAGACAGCTACATTAGTCTTTAGACAGTGTGTAGTGGTATTTAGACAGCTGCATTAGTCTTTAGACAGTGTGTAGTGGCCTTTAGACAGCTACATTAGTCTTTAGACAGTGTGTAGTGGCATTTAGACAGCTACATTAGTATTTAGACAGTGTGTAGTGGTATTTAGACAGCTACATTAGTCTTTAGACAGTGTGTAGTGGCCTTTAGACAGCTACATTAGTCTTTAGACAGTGTGTAGTGGCATTTAGACAGCTACATTAGTATTTAGACAGTGTGTAGTGGCCTTTAGACAGCTACATTAGTCTTTAGACAGTGTGTAGTAGCTTTTGGACAGCTACATTAGTCTTTAGACAGTGTGTAGTGGCCTTTAGACAGCTACATTAGTCTTTAGACAGTGTGTAGTGGTATTTAGACAGCTACATTAGTCTTTAGACAGTGTGTAGTGGTATTTAGACAGCTACATTAGTCTTTAGACAGTGTGTAGTGGCCTTAAGACAGCTACATTAGTATTTAGACAGTGTGTAGTGGTATTTAGACAGCTACATTAGTATTTAGACAGTGTGTAGTGGTATTTAGACAGCTACATTAGTATTTAGACAGTGTGTAGTGGCCTTTAGACAGATACATTAGTCTTTAGACAGTGTGTAGTGGTATTTAGACAGCTACATTAGTATTTAGACAGTGTGTAGTGGTATTTAGACAGCTACATTAGTATTTAGACAGTGTGTAGTGGCCTTTAGACAGCTACATTAGTCTTTAGACAGTGTGTAGTGGCCTTTAGACAGCTACATTAGTCTTTAGACAGTGTGTAGTGGTATTTAGACAGCTACATTAGTATTTAGACAGTGTGTAGTGGTATTTAGACAGCTACATTAGTATTTAGACAGTGTGTAGTGGCCTTTAGACAGCTACATTAGTCTTTAGACAGTGTGTAGTGGTATTTAGACAGCTACATTAGTATTTAGACAGTGTGTAGTGGTATTTAGACAGCTACATTAGTATTTAGACAGTGTGTAGTGGCCTTTAGACAGCTACATTAGTCTTTAGACAGTGTGTAGTGGCCTTTAGACAGCTACATTAGTCTTTAGACAGTGTGTAGTGGTATTTAGACAGCTACATTAGTATTTAGACAGTGTGTAGTGGCCTTTAGACAGATACATTAGTCTTTAGACAGTGTGTAGTGGTATTTAGACAGCTACATTAGTCTTTAGACAGTGTGTAGTGGCCTTTAGACAGCTACATTAGTCTTTAGACAGTGTGTAGTGGTATTTAGACAGCTACATTAGTCTTTAGACAGTGTGTAGTGGTATTTAGACAGCTACATTAGTATTTAGACAGTGTGTAGTGGCATTTAGACAGCTACATTAGTCTTTAGACAGTGTGTAGTGGCCTTAAGACAGCTACATTAGTATTTAGACAGTGTGTAGTGGTATTTAGACAGCTACATTAGTATTTAGACAGTGTGTAGTGGTATTTAGACAGCTACATTAGTATTTAGACAGTGTGTAGTGGTATTTAGACAGCTACATTAGTATTTAGACAGTGTGTAGTGGCCTTTAGACAGATACATTAGTCTTTAGACAGTGTGTAGTGGTATTTAGACAGCTAAATTAGTATTTAGACAGTGTGTAGTGGTATTTAGACAGCTACATTAGTATTTAGACAGTGTGTAGTGGTATTTAGACAGCTACATTAGTATTTAGACAGTGTGTAGTGGCCTTTAGACAGCTACATTAGTCTTTAGACAGTGTGTAGTGGCCTTTAGACAGCTACATTAGTCTTTAGACAGTGTGTAGTGGTATTTAGACAGCTACATTAGTATTTAGACAGTGTGTAGTGGCCTTTAGACAGCTACATTAGTCTTTAGACAGTGTGTAGTGGTATTTAGACAGCTACATTAGTCTTTAGACAGTGTGTAGTGGTATTTAGACAGCTACATTAGTATTTAGACAGTGTGTAGTGGTATTTAGACAGCTACATTAGTATTTAGACAGTGTGTAGTGGCCTTTAGACAGCTACATTAGTCTTTAGACAGTGTGTAGTGGTATTTAGACAGCTACATTAGTATTTAGACAGTGTGTAGTGGCCTTTAGACAGATACATTAGTCTTTAGACAGTGTGTAGTGGCCTTTAGACAGCTACATTAGTCTTTAGACAGTGTGTAGTGGTATTTAGACAGCTACATTAGTATTTAGACAGTGTGTAGTGGTATTTAGACAGCTACATTAGTATTTAGACAGTGTGTAGTGGCCTTTAGACAGCTACATTAGTCTTTAGACAGTGTGTAGTGGTATTTAGACAGCTACATTAGTATTTAGACAGTGTGTAGTGGCCTTTAGACAGATACATTAGTCTTTAGACAGTGTGTAGTGGTATTTAGACAGCTACATTAGTCTTTAGACAGTGTGTAGTGGTATTTAGACAGCTACATTAGTATTTAGACAGTGTGTAGTGGTATTTAGACAGCTACATTAGTATTTAGACAGTGTGTAGTGGCCTTTAGACAGCTACATTAGTCTTTAGACAGTGTGTAGTGGTATTTAGACAGCTACATTAGTCTTTAGACAGTGTATAGTAGCTTTTGGACAGCTACATTAGTCTTTAGACAGTGTGTAGTGGTATTTAGACAGCTACATTAGTCTTTAGACAGTGTGTAGTGGCCTTTAGACAGATACATTAGTCTTTAGACAGTGTATAGTAGCTTTTGGACAGCTACATTAGTCTTTAGACAGTGTGTAGTGGCCTTTAGACAGCTACATTAGTCTTTAGACAGTGTATAGTAGCTTTTGGACAGCTACATTAGTCTTTAGACAGTGTGTAGTGGCCTTTAGACAGCTACATTAGTCTTTAGACAGTGTGTAGTGGTATTTAGACAGCTACATTAGTCTTTAGACAGTGTGTAGTGGTATTTAGACAGCTACATTAGTCTTTAGACAGTGTATAGTAGCTTTTGGACAGCTACATTAGTCTTTAGACAGTGTGTAGTGGCCTTTAGACAGCTACATTAGTCTTTAGACAGTGTGTAGTGGCCTTTAGACAGCTATATTAGTCTTTAGACAGTGTGTAGTGGTATTAAGACAGCTACATTAGTATTTAGACAGTGTGTAGTGGCCTTTAGACAGCTACATTAGTCTTTAGACAGTGTGTAGTGGTATTAAGACAGCTACATTAGTATTTAGACAGTGTGTAGTGGCCTTTAGACAGCTATATTAGTCTTTAGACAGTGTGTAGTGGCATTTAGAAGGCTGCAGTAGTCTTTAGACAGTGTTTGGGACCCTTTAGACAGTAAAATGTGAAAATGTAACGTATAATTGGTAAAATTTCATTTTCAGTCAAAACTCCTGATATAAAAACACTAAGTTACGATATTTTCTTTAACTCTGAAAGCTGGTCGAGCAGCGATTGGATGTTCTGTATTTAGGGGAGAGGTTTAGTGAGGTGCGCTTTATACATGAAAGTGCATCATATTCTGTCTTTATATTATGGAAAATCTGTTTTTTACTTCACAATATCTTGCAGAGATTAAAATTTAGGATGAAATGAGAACTTGTTCATAGCGTTTGTGGACGTTACCCAGGTAAGAGCTGATGAGCTGGTAGTAAACTGTTGGGTCGCTGCGTTGAGTGCTGAACGAGGACTTGGCGATGCTGTACAGAGCCGATTTCTGATCAGTGGAACACGAGGAAACATTCACAGCGTTCGCTGACCTGCAGAAAGGAAGAAAGAAAACAACTCAGGAGTTTTTACAGGAGTTTTAAACATACAACACTAGTTACTCTACATTGTTGGTTATTGGCTTTGAGACACAAACAGCTACAGATGAGAAAGCATTAAAATCTGTAGTTCAATGAAACCAAACAACAAATCCATTAAATTCTTCCATTCACTTCTCCCAGCACAGGTGTTTCAATGGGTATGAACGTTATTCCTTCAAATTTACGACTTCCACTAGATTTGAGTGGACTATCAGTTCTTACAGAAGCTCTACACCAGGCATGTAAGGACACAGAGACACTGTACTGTAGTGTAAGTGTGGGTACTGCTTGAAAATCTTAGTTAAAAGTGTGGAGCCAAAAATATCCCTGAGTAAAAGTCAGAGAGTATCTACATTTTAAACATACTCAAGTACATAAAATTAAAAATAACAAAGGTAAATGTAGTGCATACTGTCTAATGTCATGTGCAAACCCCCAAAGAGCGTGGCAACAAATCTAGAATGTTCTCCTACTTCTTCTGACAATGGTTCATGTTATTTGGATCTGAACGTGTACTTACTTCAGGCTTTGAGCAGTGATGGATTTGAGGACACTGGGATCCAAGGAACAGAGGTTGGAGCCGATTGCGTTTATCTCAGCAGTTCCCAGAGTGTTACCAGCCACGCTCAGATACATCATAATGATCGCTTTACTCTACAACACACAAACACAATATTCAAGCTTCATACAAACTCATATGACAAAACCGGGTGTCAGAGAAACACATTTCACATTTTGAAGTTCAAAGGGACACTCAAAAGCGCCCCCTAGAAGTCCTTACTGCAGCCTTTGCTGAGGACTACATCATTGCAGACTCACAAGAAGTCTCAAAACTCCTTCAGATATAAGTGACCAATCAGAGCAGAGTGGGTTTGTTTACAGATTTCAGATATTCAGGTACATTACTATGTTGATCTGTTGTAGATTAAAAAACGAGTACGACCGCTAACATAATTTTGCCAGAATTTTACCCTCGAAATCTCTTGCCATCTACTTGTGCATATTGCATAATGTAGGCATCACCTACATGGACTGCCTGACTTGGGGTGCCATTTGGGACAGGGCTACAGACTTGTTGAGCTGGTTTTTCCATGCTACAAGCTCTACCTAGTGGATGCCTGTAAATTCATAACCAGCAGTGACCATCAGCTGGTTCCTGTAGTAATGTTCTAGCCACCACTAAAATCCATTACGTCCCACAAACAGGCACTCATAGACATGCTACCTGGTCTGAGGTCCAGTCTCCGTTAATTGAATTCATCAGAGAGGACAGTGCATCAATTGTGGTGATGTTCCACTTGTTGATGTCACTAACAGTGGCCACACGTGACACGGCGTTCAGAATCTGCACCACACTGTCTGGAAGGCCTGATGGGAACAACTGCAACAACACATACACACAGACCATCAAAAATTCTCGTAATTACACGACACAAAATGCTGTAAGAGGAACACATGCATCCAACATCATAGACGATCTTGAGTAATGCTGACCTGGTTTAATTTGCTCAGAATGCTTGTCAGGAAGCTGGTGTCTATCACTTTCTCAGTGATGGCTGCCAGATTGTTCTTCAGGAATGTGTTGTCCAAACATGCATCAAACTGGGTGAAGTCGTAGCCAAGAGGGAATGAGGGATCTGCAATTGTTGCCTCTGTGATGTTGCCTATTGAGCATGCTGTCAGACACAGAGAGAAAACAAGAATTTGACCAAGGAACCAGGAGTTTGTCACATAATAGCCACTTAAAGTGGGCAATGTGGTGTCCCACAAAGCTCCGTTTTAAGGCCCTTGCGGTTCCTCCTTTCAAACACCATAATCACTTTTTCTCAGAGTCAGTGACACAGTACACATGAAAGAAGATCGTGCTGAAGACATAAAAGCCTGGATGACCAGGAACTTCCTCCTGCTAAATTGTGACAAAACACAAATACTGCAAATTTGAACCCCGTAGCGCCACGCCACTCCACGCAGGGGGCAAAACTGGCTCCATTAAAAGTGAATAGGTGGGACACACATCAAACCTTTTTGCCACAATAATATGAAAGTACCTTCAGTCCAATAGATGTGTCCCATCTTTAAATCTAAATTTTTTCATGTGCTAAACCTTTAAGAAGCTGTGAGATTAGTTCATGCTTTCACACAGCCAGATTAAGGTGTTACTTGCTGCTTGCTCTGCTGTCTCTCTAAGGGCGTTTTCACGCTAGGATTGGTTGCCAGACTCAGGACCATTGGCTCTTGGAGTTTAGTACATTTGAATGCTGTTGTCAAGCCCAGGAGTGTTCTGGAGAACCGATCTCTAGTCCTCCTGAAATCGAGATATCTGCTATCGGCGACATGGGATTGGTTCATTTTGTAACGTGACTGCTTTGACTTCTTTGTTTTTCAAGTTTCATGATGGCGGGGAGAGGATTGGATTGGACAAAAAGTGCTGTCCTTCGTCAGTTGAGAGTTTGCATCCAAGGAAAATAAAAACCAGCAAAGACATTCTGCAAACCTGCACATGGAAAAGTGACATATGGAATTGTGAGATCAATCCACAGTTTGGATGGACTCCTTCTGTGTGAAAGCAAACCAGCAACAATGAGTCCGTCCCCCAGACGAGACCAGAATGTGTCCTGGGTGCAGACAGAAGTACTCAGGACGGTCTTAAATTGGCTCTAACAAGTTCAGAACGCAGCAGCCCGAGTGCTCACCAGGAAATGGCTGATCAGTTAAAGCGTCATAGTCGTTTCTTATGTAAAGCACTTCACATTTTTGTGACTCAATTGAAAAGTCTTCTCCAAATTAATATTATTATTAATTATTATAATTTTTATTATTATTACTACTCTCAACACATATATACTTCTGTTAAATTACTTCTGAAAACCTCAAAATCGCTCAGGTGCTCCTCAAGTAAAAGGTTTTGGATTTTGGCTCTAGTCAGCACCAGAAAGGGGGACCCAGCAAATCTTTAATTTTTTTACTACACTTGTGAAGATACATAAGCAACAAAGGACACAACCAAATCCTACAGCCCCTGTGTGTTAAAGCAATGTGTAGTGTGGTTGTACCTGCTCTTGTGAGTGCTCTGGCTTTGGTATTAATGCTTTTGCTTGTAACACTGTTTGCTGCTGTAAACAATCTCCTGAGTTTCCAATTCTGGATCTTCTGCTTCCTCAGGGATGAAAAGAACGTCTTCAGGAAGGTCTTTATTGTCGTCTTCAAGAGACACATGGAAAAAGAGTTTACATAACACACCCAACCATCAGATAAACACAGATAAAAAAGCAGATAAACACAGGAGAATAAGTGTACCAAGTAAGAAAAAGAAAACATAACAAATTAAACAGCTTTACGTACAGAGCTAAATTTGCCCCAGAAGTTCTGATCGAGGTAGAGGGGCAGGATGCCCAGCTGGTCCAGAGTCTGCTGGTTCCACGTTGAGGAATTACTGAAGACAAACATAAAGTGTATGAGATACTATATTTCATATACACATGTGTACAATTATACAATGATGAGAAACAAAACGGTTATCCACCGACTATTAGTCCTGGATATTCTCTGGACATTTTACACACCTCTGCACTGACCAATCAAGTCCAACTGTAATAAAGGCCAGTCTCTTTGAATTCGGATCCCCTCCTACTCCAAAAAGTTGCCCCAATCAAACACATAATAGCCCAACACTTTGTTTAGGTGAATGATTTTGATATTATCGATGTTGAAAAAAAACATACATGCACCCATGTTTGCGTTTTAGGAGCTTCTATGTTTTATAAAAAAATAAAATGAAATTCTGTCTATGATTGTGTGTAAACTATAAAATGGACTTCTAGAGTGATGAGCAACTATCTAGGTTCTTTGGGAATCTTTGCTTCCTAATGATGGGCTAATGTTAACAGTTTGTCTGAGCCATTGTCTACCACTTTGTTTTACGTGGGTCTGTTTTTGTTGCAGAGGTCACCTACCCCTACATATCATGCAAAAATGGTCTGTGGTCAGCCAGTCTGCATATCAATCACATGGTCTCTGCCTATTAAAGTAAGTAATACTTGGCCATGTGGGGCGAAGGAACCTCTGATATCTTTGCTGCTGCTTTGAAGTTTATCTATCTATTTATTAGTTTTAATGCTCACTAGAAAATTAGCACAAAATGTCGGTCACCTTCATAAAATTGCACACAAAACATTTTAAAGCTTCTTCTACAGCTGTTCGCCATGAACACATAAGGTAATGTCTTTCTTACCCGTAAGGAGTGTTGCCAGAGAACAGCAGTGTCTGTATGGCGGTGACCTGAGTGTCAGAAAGATCTCCACAGTTCTTCAGTTTCTCCAGGATGAGAGGATTAGAGTTCTGGATGTAGGTGGAGTCCAGTGTGCAGACCATATTACCCAGAACCTCCACTTGAGTACTGTTTAGACTCACACCAGATATACCCTACAAGAGCACAGACGATGTATGAGTGTGAGAACGTCCATGTAGAAGTGGATCACCTGACGGTCATATGTATTTTTGAAAAGGACAGGCATCTTATGGGTGCGTGAGAGGAGACGTATGTGCATTGTGCTGAACATTGGAGTGGCACTCTGTTACGGGATGGGGGAGGTGTGGTGGAACCAAAAGCAGCCATGATTTTTATTTTTATTCTTGCAGACATTTTGTGAGACGCTGGGTCATCAGCCCATACCAGATTCGAATAGTCTGCCTACATATTGGCAGACCAGCAGTTTACCACTTCTTCCCTGGCTCATGAGGGGAAAACAGAGCCCTGTGAATTAACCACAGAACTAGGCTGAGCTCCTGATGGTTCGGCTCAGCTTTCTCCTCTGTTCTTTCAGACGTGTTTGGCTCCTGACTGAATTTCTTATTTCTTCTTCCTTTTCTTTTCTTGCCTTTTTCTACCGTACCGTTCGGCCCTTTACGAAGGCATGACAGAGAACTTTTGCAGGTGGGGGCATTTAAGTTGAGCCCAGCAGGTGTGCCTGCTCAGTACTAATGAGCACTGGGGATTCTGGGACTTGGAGTTCTTTGACCCAGATCCAAAGCTCTTCTACTGCACCGCCTCGGCCCCTACTGGCGACCAGCAGCACAGGCTAACCCCTCACACACTGCTCTTCTAACATTCCATAATCTCAAACACATGGACGTCCTATTTTTGCTTCAACGCCCTGTAAAGACCCTTCTGGAACTTAATGGAAAGCAAAGCCTAGGAACAAGATTTTTACTGACATTTTGCTAATCAGTTAAGATGCTTGTGATCTGGTTAAGGCTGATTTACGACTAAAGCAAAATAAGGTTTGTGGAAAGCAGACACGTCTATGTTTTTTATGCCAGAGGACACTTATTGCTATCAGGCTCTATGCAGTTGTACTGGTGCAGCTGTGATGTCATAAACCACAAAGCTCAGCAGTCCTGTGTGTGTTACAGAAATGGCTGAAGTACAGTGAGCTGTTAACCTTTTAACTGTCACCCCATTTTAGCCTGAAACAGCATCCCTACAGTAAAAGGGGGCGCTGTTCCCATACACTTTGTTCTACAGACATGATCTTAAAATAAGCATAACAGGCCCCCTTTAATCTTTCACTACCATTAATGACTTTTTTCCATTTCTGCACAGATACTGTGTGTGCACAGGTGAGTGTTTTACCAGGCAGTCCTTTGCATTCGTGAACAAGGCAGACTGTCTGTTGAGGACGCTGGAGAGAACCGAGAAATCTGCTCCACCCAGAGCTCTGAAATACGACCCGCAGTTCACCTTCGTCAGTGTCCCAAGGCTACAACACACACAAACACATTGATCAGCCAATTAAGCACATTACAGTTTAATAATGTTTCAGATTTTTGGATAAATTGCATGTATAACATCTCCTACACTGCAATCACAAAAATGTAGAAACTGGACAGATATTTGTTTATTTCTGCGTGTTTAGTCAGGTCACCTCCACTCAAGGCTAACTGCACTGTCTAAAAGCTTAACGACTTGGCAACTCTAACGAATATACTGCTCATATGGATTTATGCTACACTATACACTACAAAATTACCTGAATTTTTATAATAATAGGAAACAGTGTTTTCTTGATTTAACAATAAAACACTGAGATTTTAATAATCAGTTCTGGTTTTAATTCATTTAGTTTCTCTAGAATGAAATAAATATTTTTTTTATCAAATACTAGATTTTTGGTTTTTGAAAATAAGAGAACATCTCAGATCTCAGTGAACAAAGGGCAAAGATCGTCATGTCTGTTGTTTCAAAGTAAAATACCCTTGTTGTTTGTGAGTTTGTGTTACTCACCTGTAGTAGAGAAGCATGTCAGCAGGAAAGTCAGTGAAGGTCAGAGTTGAATCATCTTTCACGTAGTTGTACATGCAGGTCAGCTGCAACACAGAACGCTCTGCGTTAGATGACATCACCACTGTTCAGGCTTACTTTGTGTCTATTTCAGAGCTCTAATCTGAAGCAGTAATATTGGTCTTCATTGTGCAGCCTAAATAAGTTCTCCAGTAAACTGCTAGCCAGGTAGCGCGCTCTCAGCTGCTTCCATCTCTGAGAATATACCCCTGAGCGTGATGGCTTGCTGGCCGGGGCAAAGACAAACTATTTAGACTGCACTGTGTGGCTGGCATGGCTGACTAGAGAAGTGCAATATGGCAAAAATATAACATTGCACTATATTTCCACAATACACAATACGTGTCACCATGTTTTGTTTTTCTGAAGTTTTATAAGTTTTTGGTGAAAAATGCAGTCAGTCTGTGTTCTTGAAGTACTGACCACATCCATCATTGTGCACCACTGGTGGATACTAGTAACATTTATCATGATAATGATAACATATCACCATGTCGCATCTACGCTGCACTAAATCCAATCAAACAGACACAACTGTGATTTCCTTCTAATGAAACATGCAGTTGGTCCAAACTTTTATTACGCACTTCTATAATCTAACAACAGCTCAGCCAGTTTGCAGGTCCCTGTAGTCACTGAATAATAAGGCTTTGTTTGTAATAAGCCTGTGGTTTTAAGGGGTTAAGCACAGATCATGTACTTAACATATTCTCAGATAATCATATTGTGATGTCATTTATCACAATAACAATAAATGTCATCATACTGCCTTCCTACAGGCGAGTATGGCACATGCTTAGGTATGTAAGTGGCCTAAAACCTTGATGATATAGAATTGGATCTTCAGGATTAGCACTGTGTCCTACTCTCTGTGGTAATTCCTGAAAATCCTACTGTACCTGAGCTGAGTGAGTCAGACTGTATGTACCTGAGACTCTTTCAGGACGACCTTGTTCCTGTTAGCACGTGGTCTACAGGCTTTCACCAGCTGTGTGACTTTTGACCGTGGTAGATTCTGAACTGAACTGCAGGTGAATCCCTGTAATATCGACTCTGACAGCCTGCAGGGGGAGACACACACACATTTAACACCTACAAACCTGTATTTCTTAGTACTGAAAATATTATGTAAATGTCCAGTGTGATTGGACAATGGAAGTATTGTGCATTTTCTGCTTTGTTTGCGTTCACTCACTCTTCTGTATTGTCACTGGCGCTGGCCACTGAGCTGAACAACACCACAGCCTAGAAAAAGAAAACAAACAAAAAGACATTTAAACATTTAAAAGATTAAAAGACTTTTTTAATTGCATGTGAACCTGCTTACATCAACACTACAAAGATGCATCATGGGTGTGTTCTGTTACCTGTTCTTGTCTCCAGCTCTTCTTGTTGATGATTGTAATATTAACAGAGGTGGGAGACGACAGTAGCACTGGTGGGATGTACCCTGCCAACGCATCCGGGACATTCTCCACCACTTTAGTCTGGTCTACAGAGACAATCTGGGAGACAAGGTGGGAAAACAACTGACTGATTAAATTTTGCTTCAGGTTGAATTTTTAATAATAACATTGTGGATTTAAGTTTTACAATCTGTTTTCTTTTAATGAGTAACATGAGTAATAGCTACCAAACCATACCAAGAACTACCAAACCACATCAAGAACAATTAAACAATAAACAGAGCTACTAAACCAAACCACAAACTACTAAACCAAACCAAGAACTACCAAAAAGAAGAACTATCACACTAAACCATTCCAAAAACTGCCAAAACAAACCATAAAAAACCACCAAACAAAACCAAGAACCACCAAGCCAAAAAAAAAATTCTAACCAAAACAAGAACTAACAACTCAAAAACCATACCATAAACTACTAAATCATACCACAAAACTACCAACCTAACCCAACTAAAAACTACCAAACAAAACCAAGAACTACCAGACCAAAACAAACCAAACCAAACCAGAACTAATAAATCAAAAACTTTTAAACCATACCGAAAACTACCAAATCAATCCCGAAAACTACCAAATCAATCCCGAAAACTACCGAACCAAAAACAACCACCACCTAACCTGCTGTGCTGAAAGAGGTTACTGGAGTCAGGTGCTGCACTTTTTGGAAAGTTGCCTGTGCACTTCCTCCCTTCACCGCCCACTATAATGTTGTCAATCGAGATGACCAGGGAGTGATCGGACAATATTGCATGATATCACAAACCTATCGCCCCCTACTGTTTGAGTTTAAAACGTTGGTTCACAATGAACTGGAGAAGATGCAAATGACAGGTTGTACAACACAACATGCTCTGTCACCCCCATGGTCAATTATATATGACATTATTTCAATGTTCCAAATGATTAAATGTCAGAGAAAGACTAAAATATAGTTATAAGACAAAGTTTATCATGCTGATGACATCACTATCACCCATCCCACAAAGGGTCACTGACACTGAGCCATGGGCTTTGTAGTTTAATTGTAATTTTAATTTTTAATGTTATGTTTCTCATTAAAATATTCTGCTATTACATTGTATTTGTGCTTGCATGATTGCAAAATGACTGTTTTACAAAGGTTTCAGCTGTAAGTCATTTTTCAGGCACTTTCCCTACCGATGTGTCTCTCAATCACTGGACCTAAACATGTGTTATGCAGTGTGTGTATATGAGTATATGAGTACCTTCTGGACGTATGTTTCTTGAAGGATCACTGGTGCTGACAGAACGTTGGTGATGAATGTTGGATTCTGGGACACGGTCAGAAGCTCAGTAGATGGAATTTTGGAGATGGTTGCTGTAGGAACACCTCCGATGAGCGTTCCCAGAGTCACCAGGGAGGTAACACTGTTGATCTGTGAACCACCCAGTTACAACAGAATGTTAAAGAAATCCTCCAAACCCAATATCAAAACCAAAGTCATGAGGAATTACGGTATGGAAGCTTGAGCAGAATACACAACACACAGTTTCTTTGGCTCTGCACACTGAACTTGAAATTTGTGATGATGATGCTGTAATATGTGCAAAATGTGGTTTGGCATTGTCCTGCTGAAACGAGCAAGGACTTCCCTGAAAAACACATTGTCTGCATGGCAGTATATGTTGCTCCAAAAATTTTAAATATCATTCAGCATTAATGGTGCCTTCACAGATGTGTATGCTGATAACAAGCTGGCTAGTCTCTCTCCTCTTAAGCCAGGAGGACATAGCGCCCATGATTTCCAAAAAAAAATCTGATTTTATTCCGTCGGATCCATGGACACTTTTCCACTTTGCCTTAAGCTCAGGCCCAGAGAAGGTGGTGGTGTTTCTGGATCCTGTTTGTGTATGGCTTCTTCTTTGCATGGTTTTAACTTGCATTTGTGGATGCAGCGACAAACTGTGTTCACAGACACAGTTTTTAAGGAGTGTTCCTGAGTTCATGCAGTGATATACACTACATAATCATGTCTGCCTTTAACACAGTGCTTGAATTGAATTGTTGCACTATTTGCCCATGCAATCTCTCACAGAGTGGTGAACCCCTCTTTATCTTTCCCTCTGAAAGACTCAGCCTCTCTGGGATGCTCTTTTATACCCAATCATGTTACTGACCTGTCGCCAATTAACCTAATTAGTCATGGAATGTTCAACCAGGCGCGTTTTCTAACATCACACAAGTTTAACATCACACCAGTCTTTTCTTTCCTCTGTCCCAACATTTGTGAAAAACGTGTACCATCAGCAAAATCAAAAAGGCATATATGTCTCAATTATCTCTTAGTTCCAATGTTTGAAATGCTGTCATTGTACTAGTTTCAATTAAATATATGGTTTAAATGGTTTCTACCTCATTACATTCTGTTATTATTTCAGTTTTGCACAGCATCCCAACTTTTTTGGAAACTGGGTTGTACAAACATTATACACTAAAGTTATGTGTTTTCCTTGTACTACCTTAATCTGTGTGCAACATAGAAGAATGGGTACCCTAAAACAAGTGTGTGTGGTAAAGTTAACCTTGTCTTGCTCATAGAGTGTATTGCATAGTATAAAATTAATGAAAAGTCTTTATTATTGAGTGCTCTAAATGAGAGCACTGCACTGGCCCTGGTTCCAGGATTATAATGAAGCATTACGGCAGTGTGTAGTGTCTAGTGTGTAATGAACACTCACAGTGAAGCCAGCGTTAGTGATGCTCTGGATGATGTTGTTGACCTGACCCTGGTTCCAGCCTGTGATGACGCTGAGTACTGGCAGGGTACTGTTAATGACACTGGGGGTAGCACCGCTTATCTGGCCCTCAGTCAGACCAATGCTCTCGTTCCCGAGTGACTTGATGGTTTCCGTGGACAAAGTGGGGAAGTTTGCCACAAGAGCCGCAGTAATCTGAGTGAAGAGGAGGATTATGGGTAACTCACACTATTACTGAATGACTGATTATGGAACACAAATGGTGAGAAAATTAGCTTAACTGATCGATTTACCTCTGGACTAATTTGTTGGCAGGATTTCTTGAGGCTGTCCAGGATTGTCTGACTGTCTGTAGCTTTCAGAGACACAAATGCAGAACCAGGAGCTCCACACAGGAGGACACCTGGCAAACTACACACAAACATAAACAGGTAAACGACTGAACAAGTAGATAAACAGATAATATGTGTGGCAATAAACATGAGAGAATCGAAGGACAGGTTCTGTGTTTATAAGTGGTTAGCAAAATGTTTGTTGTATATTATGGATCCTGAGGGGACTGAGGTTAGGATTCTGGATGTATAACTGTAGTATTTAGTGTGTAGTGTGGTACCTGAGGGGACTGAGGTTAGGATTCTGGATGTATAGCTGTAGTATTTAGTGTGTAGTGTGGTACCTGAGGGGACTGAGGTTAGGATTCTGGATGTATAGCTGTAGTATTTAGTGTGTAGTGTGGTACCTGAGGGGACTGAGGTTAGGATTCTGGATGTATAACTGTAGTATTTAGTGTGTAGTGTGGTACCTGAGGGGACTGAGGTTAGGATTCTGGATGTATAGCTGTAGTTATTTAGTGTGTAGTGTGGTACCTGAGGGGACTGAGGTTAGGATTCTGGATGTATAACTGTAGTATTTAGTGTGTAGTGTGGTACCTGAGGGGACTGAGGTTAGGATTCTGGATGTATAGCTGTAGTATTTAGTGTGTAGTGTGGTACCTGAGGGGACTGAGGTTAGGATTCTGGATGTATAGCTGTAGTATTTAGTGTGTAGTGTGGTACCTGAGGGGACTGAAGTTAGGATTCTGGATGTATAGCTGTAGTATTTAGTGTGTAGTGTGGTACCTGAGGGGACTGAGGTTAGGATTCTGGATGTATAGCTGTAGTATTTAGCGTGTAGTGTGGTACCTGAGGGGACTGAAGTTAGGATTCTGGATGTATAGCTGTAGTATTTAGTGTGTAGTGTGGTACCTGAGGGGACTGAGGTTAGGATTCTGGATGTATAACTGTAGTATTTAGTGTGTAGTGTGGTACCTGAGGGGACTGAAGTTAGGATTCTGGATGTATAGCTGTAGTATTTAGTGTGTAGTGTGGTACCTGAGGGGACTGAGGTTAGGATTCTGGATGTATAACTGTAGTATTTAGTGTGTAGTGTGGTACCTGAGGGGACTGAAGTTAGGATTCTGGATGTATAGCTGTAGTATTTAGTGTGTAGTGTGGTACCTGAGGGGGTTGTAGTTAGGATTCTGGATGTATAACTGTAGTATTTAGTGTGTAGTGTGGTACCTGAGGGGACTGAGGTTAGGATTCTGGATGTATAGCTGTAGTATTTAGCGTGTAGTGTGGTACCTGAGGGGACTGAGGTTAGGATTCTGGATGTATAGCTGTAGTATTTAGTGTGTAGTGTGGTACCTGAGGGGGTTGTAGTTAGGATTCTGGATGTATAACTGTAGTATTTAGTGTGTAGTGTGGTACCTGAGGGGACTGAGGTTAGGATTCTGGATGTATAGCTGTAGTATTTAGTGTGTAGTGTGGTACCTGAGGGGACTGAGGTTAGGATTCTGGATGTATAGCTGTAGTATTTAGTGTGTAGTGTGGTACCTGAGGGGACTGAAGTTAGGATTCTGGATGTATAGCTGTAGTATTTAGTGTGTAGTGTGGTACCTGAGGGGACTGAAGTTAGGATTCTGGATGTATAGCTGTAGTATTTAGTGTGTAGTGTGGTACCTGAGGGGACTGAGGTTAGGATTCTGGATGTATAGCTGTGAGCTGTAGTATGTGGTGACGTTGGATGAAATCCCTGAGTTGTTAAACAGTCGAATATTCTCTGAGTTTTCCAGGAACACACCGATCTACAGAACACAGTCAGACTCAGTAATTAGCAATAGAGAATACAGATATGATGAGGCACTTTCCGACACAAGTGTTTAACTGGGTGCATGTAGATGGACCTTAATTGGAGCAGTGGCATGCCGGTGGTGTGGGATGGCAAGCAGCAGTAAAAATGTTCATAACAAAATATTGCCAGTAGTTTGAGTGAGGCATTAG